CTCGTATCGGTTCCCGTAGACAGGCTCATCCACCAAATAGTGGATGTAATATTTCATATGGTCAACCATCTTTCAAAACTAACAAACAACATGCACCATACGTGGAAACATTCACCAAACAATGCATATTGGGAGAAAATTAACCCCCCCACACTTGAGTTCCAACATAGGTAAGAAGCCTTCAAAGGCTTTTCACAAGGCCGAACGACCAACATTAAAGCTCAACCAAACCAAAAGCACACGAGGCATGAAACTTAGTGTTTCATAGATCATAAAGGTTGCAAATGTAAGCCTAGATCATGCCTCGATGACCACCATTCAACATGTACAAAAGTGAATTAAGGCTAGGCATTTTAAGCATACACTTGGTGGGTATTTTTCAATTCAAACACCATATCATGCGAAATCTTGCCCACCAAGTCACAATTAGGGGTGTTCAAATGGTTACCATGGTTATAACCAAACCAAATAAGGCTAAATGCCATTAACCATGGAATTCAATATCATAACCAAACCGTCCAAACTAATACAACAACCGAATTAACCAAACTAAAGTTTAATCGGTTTGGTTAATTGGTTAACCAGATTAACCAATATAAAATCACATTATCATTGACGATGAAAATTTTCCGGTTAATGCAACAATTCGCAATTTATATAATGAATAAAACATAACAATCAACACGTAGTTATAGTTGACCCATAACAAAAATACATGCAACTAAGACAATTATCTTACGATTAGTATAGAAGTATTCACCTAACAAAAATTTATGACAATGGTATGGGTTAGTGAATTGTTGTGTTTGTGTAAATTGACTTAGTCTCTTAGCAATTATCATAGGCTGGAAATGACCTTCCTTTCAAGTTTTCATCCATCATAATGTATGAAATTTATCTAAATTAGGCGTCCATATGTTGTGGTCTACATTTTACATATACAAATATACACTATATGAGCAATATTGAGCTTTATATTTTATGAGTCTAAAAGGGATGAACGTTAACTCTTGAGTGGTTATGCAAAGTATTAAGTATGTGTATATAATATATGTTAGAAATATGACTAATTACTTAATTGGTTAATTTGGTTTGACTGGTTAGGAGTGTCTGAAACCACACCAAACCACCTAAACCAAACAAGCTAAAAACTTTAACCAAACCAAACCAATTATCCAAATTAACCAAACCAAATTATCCAAATAGTACTGGTTAAAACGGTTACCATGGTAACCAAACCGTTTGAACACCCCTAGTCACAATCAACCCATCAATCACTTAAACATCATGCAATCATAATAATTCAACCAATCCCTCACACAATTTCATTAATCATGCTAAAATCCCCAGTTCTCCTCACCTAAGAACCCTTTATCCAATTCAACAAAATTAACCAAGTAAGAGTTCAAAACACACTTGAAGACTGAAGTAGGATCGAAGAAGAAGGTGAGGAGGGGGGCGAGGGACTCGAAACTTGGCCAAAAAGGGGTCGGAGGAGGTTGCTCACCGAAGTCTCACTAGCGAAAGTTTTTGTAAACAAAATCAACTCCAAATCTCCCAAAAATCGCGTCGAAGGTGCGCCAGGAGAGGGGAGTTCGGTATATGTTTGGTTTTTGAGTTGGGTATATGTTTGCTTCAAATCATCACAAAAACAAGGCTCAAAAGTATGATTAGCTTTGTAAATCTTACTTCCACTAAGAATAACTCCATTAGCTTCTATTTCATCTTCATCCTTAGCCTTATCATTTGCATCAATCGAAAATATGATACTCTCCTCACTGTCCCTCAACATCAACGTTCCCTCATTCACATCTACTAATGCCTTGGCGGTGGCTAGGAAAGATCACCCTAGTATGAGAGGCATGTCGGTATCCTCACAAATATCTAGGATAACAAAATATTTTGGAGAAGAACTTGCCCACTCGAACTAGGACATCCTCCACTATTCCTCTATGATGAATCATAGAACGGTCACCCAATGTAACACTCAACCTATTGGTTTTCAGTTCACGTAGGTCTAATTTCTTGTAAAACTTGTATAGCATGACATTGATGCTATCTCGTAAATCTGTCAAGGATTTATCTATATGTCATGTTCCAATGCAAAGGGGGATAGTGAAACTACTTGGATCCTAATGCTTTTGAGGAAACATGTTCTGAATGATTGTCGAGCACTCCTCGCTCAGAGTCCCTGAGTCAAGGTCTTTGAATTTCCTCTTCTTAGAAACAAGCCCCTTGAGAAATCGAGCATACTTTGACATTTGTGCCATCGCTTCAAAGAAAGGAACCGAGACGTTTGAGCTTCTTAAGCATCTCATTGAATTTACTAAACTCCACCTCCAGATTGCCCTTGTGAACGCTTGTTGGGAAAGGAAGTAGAGACTTGTCCTCAGCCACGATAGGTGGCATCGGTCGTGCCTTCATAGCCTTGTCATCCTTTTCCTCCATAGGATCTTGTTTATTAACGTTGGAGGGGCTTCTTCCCCTTTTTTGCATTATCTCCTTTGTTGCAACATCTTGAGTTACCTTCGCGTTTCATAGTGAAATAGCATGCACCTCCGCTCTGGCATTAGCCACGGGTTATGAAGGTAGATCTCCTTGTGGTCTCTTCATGAAGATATCGACAAGGTTGCCAATTTGAGTCTTCAAGTTTTGAAGACTTTCTTGATGACTTCTTAAACCAGTCTCAAACGAGGTAAACTTGTTTGTTTCAACTTCCATGAACTTATGAGTCTTCTCAAACTTGTGAGAACTTGAACTAATAAAGGTTGTGAGTATATAATATGGGGTGGTACAATCATCCCAACTTTAAATGTGCATCACTGGCTAATCCGAGACCGCCCGGTTCTCAAGGACGGACCGGTGTTGTCAACAAAGACCTCCATTTGTTTAACAAAGACCGCAATTCCAATCCTAAAACTTTCAACAACAAATATATCAACCAAAAGATGTGGAAGGATTCCAACAACATCAATAACCCGATATGGTCTCTAATCTTGAAGACCAATGCACAACTAATGCATGCAAAATCGTGTTTTTACATAAAATTGAAAACTGAGGTAAAATCGGAATCATAGATTAAAATCGCGAAATCGTAAGATTTTAAAGTTCATATTAAAAGAAACACTTAAAACACCAAATAGTAATAACAATGCATATCATGAATAACATTCAACCACATATAACCTAATTCCTTCCAAGAAAGTTTGTATGCTAAATAAACACAACTATATGCATATATTTATTCTTGAACATAACATAAAAACACAAATAAGAAACCTAAAACCTCATAAAAGCCGCTTAATTTAGTTAATAGTTAAGAGTATAAATCACACAAGAACGTTAGTATCAACATTAGCATCCCTCACTCTCATCCTCGTAGATTCCTTGTCTAATCACTTGAAGTACTTTCACCATTAACCATATTTGAGCACCATCTTTGACCACCATCATCTGGAAAAGGTAACTAATTGATTGATGCATTCCCTTCTTAATCGCTAAAAGGACGAGGATAGTGGTGCTGAAGGATTGGTAGATTAATGAAAGCTTGCAATGGAATAGAGATTGTGATAATTGTGAGTGTGGTGGGAACAAACTATGAGCTAATTGGTAGGGTAAAAGAAATCGTTAATGGAAGGAGTTCGACATCGTCGTGCAAAAGAGGAAGATATGAGGAAGAGAACGAAAATAAAGCGAGGTCGCCTATCGGGTTAGGGTTGTGTTGTTCATTATGTTGGCTCGGAGGAAGTGAACTTGACCCGATTCATGGTCAAAACCTAAACTGACCGACCTAATTTTTCTCCAATTCACGTGAACCTTGAAATCGTATAAAATCGTTGAAATTGAAGGTTTTAAGGATTTTAGAGTTTTAAATTGGGATTTTATGAGATTTTAAGGTTCAAATATTTTGTAGTAAAATCAGGATCAGAACCCACAGGGAAAGATCGTAAAATCGTAAGATTTTAAGATTAAATTCGGGATTTCGACTACATTGGCCACCACTACAACTTAACCCCAATTGTAGGCCAAGTGCAACCAATAATCTAGTGGAGGATATAGTAAGTATTTCAAATATCAACCTAGATGACCTATATACCCTTACCTCAGTCGTCTATAAATTATCTAGCAATTGAATTGTTGTTATAGCTAACGAACTAAAGAAGCAAGCACTTAAAGTAGTGTCTGAATTCAATTGAGATAAGTTTTCTCGGATGTTATTCCCCCTAGTCCGGTGCTTACGTTGCAAACGTGATACTCAAATGCGATAGAAAAACATTCATATACTGTTAGGAGATCTAAAATAGCTAGGATCCCTATTCGAATGCATCCTAGCCCGCATAATCGATCTAATCGGAGGGGTGGACCACACAATCGAAAAGTCGATTAAGGTAATTGATTCCACTCCCTAGAGAATTCACCCGAAACGAGAAAGAGTCACCAATCACAAATGATTCATGGCACTCTACGTTGATTGAGAAGTGACCGAAATCGCTCGAAGGGGATTTTCTCCCTCCTAGGTCAATTGCCCCAAAATTGAGGGTTTTTATCAAGAACACTCAATTTGCATGAAATAAATCAATCAAGAGAACTACTCCATAGCTAGAAGATGTAGACACCACATTTTGTCCGGGGGCACACACTATACTTAAAACTCGAAAGGAGAAAATTGATATTGATAAATTAAAAAAAAAAGGTGTTTGGAAAGATTCGGTTGAGATTGCAGTGGCAAGTCGAGTACTTCCAAGTTTACTTAATATAATTCTAATATCAATTTGGTTGAAACTAGCAGTGATGAGTCGGTGAACACTAGTAATCACCTAGTTGTTTAGGCTATTAAGATTGGATTTGTTAGGATGGTGAACACTAGTAATCACCTAGTTGTTTAGGCTATTAAGATTGGATTTGTTAGGATTAGCAGTAACAAATCTTAACATCAATTCCATGTTGAGCTATAAGTTTGTTAAGTTTTGTTTCAATTGGACAAAAGAAATGACTATAGTGCAAAGTTTGTTGCTCGAGTTTGGATTTGGGCATGATAGATTAAATGTGACAAATTGAACGAGGAAAAACAAAGACTTTATTATCAAACTCGATACATCATACATCACATGAGTAAACCTCTAAATAAAGCAATGACTAAAATTAATTACAATTAATTACAAGGACTATTGCGAGCTCTACAAAAGAGGAGGAAATTGAAGTCATTGACCCTTTGCTACTTGCTCTAGGCACAACCAAAACCTACAACCTGCAAAAAAGAAGACAATTATTAGAAGCCCAAACGTAAACTAAACCCAATTAAGGCCCACAAAGTTCAGCCCAATCCGGTCAACAATGGTCAACCCGGTCAACCATTTTCATACTCCATATCCTATCCTATCCCATCCCAAAGAGTCAACAAAAAAAAGCCTGCTGCCTACATTCGGAAAATTGGCCACCTCTTCAAAGACCACTAAGGACTCACCACGCACTACCTGCAAACAGAAACTGCAAATAGAGAGGAAGCAGTTAAAGTAAAACCCAATTGAGGTACAAAAATGGCTGCTGCCTCTTCAAAATGGCAGGCGCCACCCCTCAAAAGGCCAACCAACACTTGCCAACACAAATAAGATGGACAGCAGAAATTGCCACCGTCCTAGAGAAGTAGCAGGACAGCTACCTCTCAAAGCCATCACACATACCAACACAGAAGAAACAATTAACAGTGGAGGAAAGAACAGTACAAAAAGAGCTTTCTTACAACAAAGAGAGGGGCTTCGGGCTGGAAATTCAAAAAAAAAAGAGGGAAAGGACCAAAAAAAGATAGGAAGCTTGAGAGGAGAATAGAGAAGCAGATCAATAGAAGATAAGGGAGGTAACAGCAGCACGCAGAAGACGAGGAAAAAGGCATCAAGCATCAAGCAAAAACCAAACAAGGGAAATCAAGCTAGAAGTTCCATGTTGGTGATTCTCAAACCCAAGTTAAAACACTCTCTATTTCCTTATGCTAATAATAATCATTCACCTTGACAAAACAAACATGGCATGAAGTGATGATAGAAAGCTTTCATAATATCTCAACAAGTAGGTGAATGATTAAAGCTTTACTAATGCGATTACATACTTGCTTTCATTGATATGAACTTATCATCTCATTTAACTAGAGCAATTAGAAGTAAGATCTGATTGATTTATTTTCATTTGATTGCATCTGTTTATATTAAATCTGATCGTGTTCATTATTGCAAAGATAATATTATATCTAAACCTCAAATAAAGAACCCACATACACCATGAGACTTGGTAGTGATTTCTAGTTTAGTCAACCAACAAATCAATAGACCATGAGAAAATCAGTTAATCTTAAACTAATAAAAGCTGAAGTTTGAGATCTGGTCATGAGCAGAGGCTGTGATTAGGTTGCTCTAAGATTCCTTTCAACCGATAAACCTTAGCTAAATCCTATAAGTTGTTTTTTTCTTTAAAAATATCCAAATCCAACAAAAATCAACATATCAGATTTACGAACCGATAACTGTTTTTGAAAATCAACCCATAAAACACAGGCAGTGGCTGTGATTTTCGGTTATCTCAATCGTTTTATACTTCAAAAACTAGTTCCCTTCTACAAAGTATTACCATAAAAACAATTCACTAGCAGATTAAGGAGTCGACTCCTAGCTACTTAGAACCCAATCTTCTAAAGAGAAGGCAGACATAAATCTCGAGTTGTACAGGGGATACCACCTAAATCTCTTCGTTTAGTCACTGCAAAGGGGGAGGGTTCGAGAGGTTCTGGTGTTTCCTCTGGCTGGTGGCAGTTGTTTCTGCGTCGGCGGCGGCACCACTCCCTCCTCCACGTACCCACATACCAAAATCAAAATAAAGCATCAGAATTAAGAATAAGAAATCAAATACACAAGCCACAAATTCAGAAGCATACCTACCAAAAATATCAGTCGACGGACTGGTTCTCTGCTTGCGGCGAGACCCTGAGTCGCTGTCGTCTCTGGCCACCATTTCGCTCATCGTCGCTTTCGCCGGCGGCGGAACTCTTCTTGTTGTCCATATCCGAAACCCCACAACACGAAAGAGGTTAGAATCTCATTCAAAAACCCAGAAACAAAAGAAAATAGAATTGCATGCCATGATCTTACCTAGATCGAAGGTCCCCAAGGTTGTTAAACCCCTATCGAACCCCCCGGTTGAACCCTGTTGGACCCGAGTCGGGTTTCAAAACAGCCTCCAGAAAACCCCCCGGTCTGACCCCTAAACAGGGAGAAGAAGAGAGGCGGAAGAGAGGAAAATGAACGAAGGAAGGGAAATGGTAGGTGGATCATGGAGGTTAGGTAGATTTATTTTGTTGAAAATAAGTTTTTAATAGATATATGTAAGATAAATTTTATTTCACTCATTAAATTTTTAATTACTATTTTATTTGTATATATATTTAGAAAACGTCTAAAACGGCTCAAACCGGCCGGACCCCGATCAGACCATTAAACCTCAAACCCCTTGCTTGAACGGCTCAATGACTTAAACCGGTTTGACAACCTTGAAGGTCCCCCGGTAGATTTTCAGCGACCTACGGCGGATTGAGGAGAGTAAGAGTCGGCGGCTAGAGGAGAAGCTCTGAGGAGTTTCTTCAGTCGGGTCGTCTTTTATGGCGGCGGCAAGAGAAGAGGAGATGGGTTTTGAAGTTCGATTGGTTTCGATTGCTGGGTAGGAAAAGAGAGTAGGATAGGGATACGAGAGAGATAAGGGTTGCCAACGAGTTCCACCGCCCTCCCCGTCGCCATCGACGGAGAGGCAGAGGGAATGGCGAGAGAGAAGAGAAGGGAGAAGAGATACGGCGGCGATGGAAGAAAAAAAAAACAGAGGGGTCTCTGGTTTGGAGAAGCAGAGAGCAGAGAAGAGGGTCGTTTTTTTGGCGAAGGGTCGAGAAGGGCTGAGTGCTGGCGGCTGCTAGGTTTGATTAAGGCTTAGGTTAAAACATTTATATACCATGAGTTTTAAAATAACGAAATCGACCCTCCCCTTTCTCTAAAACTAAAAAAGGCGACGATTAAATTGGGGTGGACGGGTTTCGATCCCTCGTTCAGGGGAACGAATGCGACCTGTGCTGGCAACTTAACCATTTGGGCAGCTGGCCCATCATGTGTCAATTTAATCATCCCGTTTAAATTTATAATTTAAAATCCTTAATATGAAAATGTTGCAAGCGGATTACGTTTATCTTACTTCTTCTTCCTGATACAAAAAATCCTTGAAATAATCAATTTAAAATTATATTAATAAAATCATAGTATAAGAATCACGTTCAGTGGAACGTGGTAAAAGTTACAATTAAATTATCAAATTCCAAACGAACTACGTGGACTTTGATCCCATGTTACGGGTACGTAGGCAACCGATAAGGTTCGAGTCCGACTAACCAATTAACTTTATCTTTTACGTCAGTGGACGTACAATTAAATTACAATTAATACAATTTAATTTCTTTAATGGTCCAGTAGGACCCTAAAATTACAAAAACACCCAACTCATATAAACTTATCAAACTTAAGTAGTACCGATTTAGGGCGTTGTGGGGGTGTTGCTTAACTTCCCCACACGTAACCGTACTCCCGAACCCAGAACTTTATTTTCGCAGACCATATCTCGGTTCTGACCCTAAGGTCGGAGCCGATTCGATGAGTGTTCGATCCACTCCAAGTAAGATCGACGGCGACTCCCAAAAATGCCGACGCGACCCCGACGAACCCCGGAGGGACGGTTGCCACAGTTGGCGACTCCGCTGGGGAAATTCGAGAGTCAAGCTACATAATTAAGTTCGGTAAGTTTTTCTAACTTTCTTTTACGTGTTGGGTGTTTACTACTTATTTGCGCAATTATATTTTCGCAATTTAAATTTTGCATTCATGCATAAAAGCTCTACGCCCGAGCTATCCCTTTAGAAAATTGAAAGGAGTACCGTGACTTCGATAGTAGTGGTCGTCACGCAAAACTTTCTAACCAAGTTGAACTCGGATCCGAGGATGATCTCGAAGTATCTAGCCGGTTCGAAATGACTACGACGGGATACAACTTGGGAGCCGAATCCCTAGGAATTCCTCTGCCAGCATATAGTAAGCTTAGATGCTACCCTCAACCGTCCAAAACAATTCCGAAAACCACCCTAAAACCATGTTGTTACGCCACCCAAAAATCCTAGGTCAACCTAAATAGGGTAATGATGTAATGATATGTGTTTGCTTATCTAAATGTATGTTTGCTTACCATGTGAAGATATGTGTTTTATCTTTTACTCGTAAAAATGTGTGATTGTATAAATGAAAAACGTCTTCAAAATTCATAAACATCTTTCTCTCGTAAGATTTTCATTCACTCATTTACAACTTATCATAAAAAGATTAAAAACGCATGCATGATGAAAAATAAATTTGCATTCATACTTCATTAACACTTGCATAAGCATCATGCATATACATCCATAATAAAAATGAAAAATAATTTATCAATTTTAAGAGGGTTCAGGGTTTCTAAAATCATTCATCCACGAGGAAAGAGTCAAGGCTTTAAGTATTTGACAAGATCCAAAGTTGAGCTCATCATGGAGGCATTCCAGAAGAAGATGGGTGATGTTGAAGGAAAGTTGACCGGATTCGATGAAAAGCTATATGGGTTCAATCGAAAGCTAGAAGGTGTCGACGAGGTGAAAAATCAACTAAATTTGCTGATAGGGATGATGTCAGCAAAGAAGAAAGAGGTAGCAACCAATGATGAAGAAATGTCACTTTAGGATGACGATAACGGCGAGCCACCCAATGGGACCAGTTTGGGCAACAAATTCATCGTTATACCCGAGAATCTTGATAAAGACAACATTGGATCATCAAAACTTGATTACTCGCATAGGAGACGGAAATTAAAAGAAACTGTGATTGATGCCATATCAAAAGAAAAACTTGAATGACTCGATGAACGAATAAGAGCTATAGAAGGAACGGAGTCATACGTGCCCACAGATGCATCGTAATTATGTTTGGTCCCAGATGTGATAATACCTCACAAATTCAAAATGCCAGAATTTGAAAAGTATGAAGGTGCTACTTGCCCCAGAAGCCACATGGTTATGTATTGCAACGAGATGGCTAACCATATTCGAGATGAAAAATTGATGATACATTGCTTCCAGAATAGCTTAAGTGGTCCACCTCTAAGATGGTATATGCAACTCGAAAGATCAAAGGTGAAGAGATGGCAAGATCTGGCTGATGCATTCTTCAGACACTATAAGCATAACCAAGATTTAGCTCCAGATAGGGAGGATTTGCGTAATATGGAAAAACAAGAGAAAGAATCTTTTCGTGAATACGCCCACAGGTGGCGTACAAAGGCTGCAGATGTTCAACCCCCCTTGTCAGAAAAAGAAATGATTTCGACCTTTTTCGAAACACTGAAGCCTCCATATTACAACAACATGGTAGGGATCACCACAACAAATTTTGCATATTTGTTAGTAATTGGAAAGAGAATAGAGAAAGGGATTAAGCAAGGCAAGATGGAGAATTCAGAAACCTCAAAGAAAGCTAGTCTGTCTCGAAAGGGAGAGGGAGATGTACATTCGACTGAAGATGATTCTTCAAAAGAGAGACGTTGGAATTACCAATCTCAAGGCAATCAAAATTCATCGATCATCCCACAACCAAATTTTGTCAATCATCAGGCAGTACAGACACCACCACCTGCAACCCCACGAACGAATAATCATGACTCAAACAATAATGAGAGATACAAAAAAGATATTCGAATCGATCCTATCCCCATCACATTTACCGATTTGTTCCCCCAGCTGCTCCATGATCAGTTAATTTCCCCTATACCGTGTCGTCCAATGCAGCCTCCATACCCAAGATGGTACAAACCAGATGAACATTGCGATTACCACTCAGGAGCGGCAGGACACTCAACCGAGAATTGCGAATGGTTAAAAAGCAAAGTCCAACAAGTGGTGGAAGCTGGATGGCTAAAATTCCAGGAAACGCCGAACCCTCCAGACATCAACAACAACCCTCTACCCAGTAACGACAGTTAGTATGCACGCCATCTAGCAATGCTCGATTCAAGGATCATGTGGATCTTTGAGAACAAATAAATATCGAGATAGTTTGTCATGTTTCAGATGTACTACCTTTTGCTTTCATCATATGGAATAAGAGATCACCCACATGTCCAACTACTTCGGACATTTTGTGATAATTATCAATCTCGATTTTGGATTTTGCATCAATAGCCTTTATCTTCCCAAATAATGGATGTCTCTTTCAAGTATTTCGACTTGATTTCCATAAAAACAAAAAATTCATAAATCCATCACATGTTTTCAAGTTCAGCCATGAGATTGCCATAATAAGCAATTATGAGCACCCCACTGGTGTCGAGCGGTTATAAACACCCTAATGGTGTCAATATTTTGAGCACCACACTAGCGTTGAGAGTGTGCACACTTCTCTAGATTCGAGAGTATAAACACCCCATTGGTGTCCATAAAAATCATGTGAGCTAATAGTCAAAGGGGAAACGAGGATACGACACCAAGCTATTTGTAGAATCTTGTCACTCACACGATATGCCTTTGCTAGCAAATTGATACCCAACTAGGCCCAAAATCAAGCAACATATTCATGATACGCAGGAAATAACCACTCGTAGCAACTCAAGATCTGTCGACCAGCCTCGACCAACAACGAGTGGAACCTCAAGCAAGAGCTTACCTGATAAGAAACCTTTATAGTCACTGCCACTTCACACAAAAACCTCCTCGGCATGCCACTTTGGGACTAATCGAGAATTCATTTGCTCCCTACTCGACCTAGTCTCTTAAAAAACAAATTTTCAAAAGAAAGGGGTAACACAAGCCAAAAATGCACTCCCCAAAGATGACCAATATTCATCACTATTTTCGAGTAGGAGAGACCACCTCAATGAAAATGAACCTACAAACCCGACAACGATCTCCTATACATTAGTTAAATCTCATACTTTGGGGGCAAGCCAAAATCCCTCATAAAAAAGCCTCACATCTTGACTAGAACATATTCACTACGAGTTTCTACTATCTCGTCACTCAAACTCACATCTTGAGGAAAACTGAATCCCGGGGCAAGAAGATCCTCACGATTAAAGTCAGGTTCAACCAAAACCTCCTTTAGGAAAATATTACATACCTCCACTACAAGACCATATGAAGATCGCCAAAACCAATTACGCAAAACTTTCCTGTGTTGAGAAAACCTGAACCTCGAGCTCATCTGAACGACAACTGAAGGAGACATGTCATAGTGACATGAATCTTAATGGTAGCTGAAATGTCGTAAACTTGAAGCACCCATAGGAATGAGTGAGAGCGAAAAGATGAGTGAAAGTGAAACTGAGGGCTTATTGGTGCTCTCATGGCTTGATTGTACTAAAACGGTTTTGCACGATTTGCACACACTTCTCTCAAGCAAGTTTTGATATATGAAATGAGTTTCCATTATTCGCAAAAGGTTTTGGACATTGTTGCATTCATCCGTAGTCGAGGTTGATAAGAATCACTCTTTGTTTATGAAGTATTGGAAAATAGTATAGATCTTTGGGGGGCAAGAATAGCGCATCCTGGAAGAGTGGACTTGCAAAGTACTCAATACTCAAATTTGCAAAGAATAAGTAGATGAAGACATATCAAGGTTTTCAAAGCACTCGCGATTCATTGAATCCAATGGCCAATCTACCCTTCAAACGACTCGACTAGAAGGAAAAACTCTATATATCATGAATACTTGGAGCCGCGTAACAGAGTTGTACCACACAATTTCTCTGCAAAGCCAACATCAAAACATATTTATCAGAATGATAAATCTTATCAACCAATCACGAATCACTCACATTACAAGAAGCACCCACAACGGGCAGGACACCATGCCGAACACATTATTCCAAACCCTACTCCTATGAGGATGGACTTCCAAGATGACATACGCCGAAGGCTCAAAGCAATATCCAACAACTTTGTCCCTTTACCATGGGGGCAAACAAAATCAAGAGTTTGTGCTAAGGATCAAGTGGATAAAGAACAATGACTTCTTGTGGATGATCAATTTAAAGGAATCTAGGGAAAAAAAACATATCTTACAACCAGACAATCATACTTCATACTATACTTTCACATGACATCATTATAACATATCATACAATTACATGCCTATACGAAATTCATATATCCATCGGATGATTTCATAAAAGAAAAAACCCAACTAATGCATGCTTTTTTGAATTAGAAAGTCTAGCATTTATTTTGACCAACAATAATGGCAAGTCATTGCATCACTTCACGCATGTCTACAACAAATATCATAAACATGTAGAAGATGACTGGCGAGCATCATCAAATTCGCCAACGCTGTTGAGCGTTAAAGGAGTACAGTAGACGATGATTGGCGAGCATCAGCAAATCCGCCAACGTTGTCGAGCGTTAAAGAAGTACAGTAGAAGATGAATGGCGAGCATCAGCAAATCCGCCAACGCTGTCGAGCGTTAAATAAGTACAATAGAAGATGCCTGAAGAGCCTCAACCACGGGAGCTAAGGAGCGCCCCAACCATTCAAAACCTCACAGGAGCTGACGAGCCCCTCTACAAGTCAAGAACGCACAGGAGCTGAGGAGCGCCCCAACCATTCAAAACCTCACAGGAGCTGGCGAGCCCCTCTACAAGTCAACAACGCACGGGAGCTAAGGAGCGCCCCAACCATTCAAAACCTCACAGGAGCTGGCGAGCCCCTCTACAAGTCAACAACGCACAGAAGAGCGCCCCTACCATTCAATACCGCACAGGAGCTGGCGAGCCCCTCTACAAGTCAACAACGCACGGGAGCTAAAGAGCGCCCCAACCAATCAATACCTCACAGGAGCTGGCGAGCCCCTCTATCATTCAACAACGCACGAGAGATAAAGAGCATCTCTACCAGTAAATACATGACCGGAGCTGGCAAACGCTAAAGAAATATAGCAGAAGATGATTGACGAGCATCAGAAAAACCATCGACGCTGTCATGTGTCAAAGAAGTACAGTAGAGTGAGTATCAGAAAAAAAAATTTGCGTTGGCGAACGCTGTATAAAAACATAAATTTTTCATCACTGGTGAAGACTATCAAAGAAATAGAAGTCGTCACAATTGGTGATCAAATACAAACCCACAAAATTACGAACAATTCTCACATCACCCAAAAACCACACTCTTTCTATGGATCTAATACAACTATCATGGCACTTCTTGAAAATGTGGTGTCTTTATAAAAACTTTGTATAACTCTTTATACAAAGAGATATACAAAGGGGGCAACTGTAGACACCACATTTTGTCCGGGGGCACACACTATACTTAAAACTCGAAAGGAGAAAATTGATATTGATAAATTAAAAAAAAAAAGATGCTTGGGAAGATTCGGTTGAGATTGCAGTGGCAAGTCAAGTACTTCCAAGTTTACTTAATATAATTCTAATATCAATTTGGTTGAAACTAGCAGTGACGAGTCGGTGAACACTAGTAATCACCTAGTTGTTTAGGCTATTAAGATTGGATTTGTTAGGATGGTGAACACTAGTAATCACCTAGTTGTTAGGCTATTACGATTGGATTTGTTAGGATTAGCAGTAACAAATCTTAACATCAATTCCATGTTGAGCTATAAGTTTGTTAAGTTTTGTTTCAATTGGACAAAAGAAATGACTATAGTGCAAAGTTTGTTGCTCGAGTTTGGATTTGGGCATGATAGATTAAATGTGACAAATTGAACGAGGCAAAACAAAGACTTTATTATCAAATTCGATACATCGTACATCACATGAGTAAACGTCTAAATAAAGCAATGACTAAAATTAATTACAATTAATTACAAGGACTATTGCGAGCTCTACAAAAAGAGGAGGAAATTGAAGTCATTGACCCTTTGCTACTTGCTCTAGGCACAAACAAAACCTACAACCTACAAAAAAGAAGACAATTATTAGAAGCCCAAACGTAAACTAAACCCAATTAAGGCCCACAAAGTTCAGCCCAATCCGGTCAACAAGGGTCAACCCGGTCAACCATTTTCCTACTCCATATCATATCCTATCCTATCCTATCCTATCCTATCCTATCCCATCTCATCCCAAAGAGAACAAAAAAAGCCTGTGCCTGCCTTCTGAAAATCGGCCACCTCTTCAAAGACCATTAAGGACTCACCACGCAATACCTGCAAGCAGAAACTGCAAATAGAGAGGAAGCAGTTAATGTAAAACCCAATTGAGGCACAAAAATGGCTGCTGCCTCTTCAAAATGGCAGGCGCCACCCCTCAAAAGGCCAACCAACACTTGCCAACACAAATAAGATGGACAGCAGAAATTGCCACCGTCCTAGAGAAGTAGGAGGGCAGCTACCTATCAAAGCCATCACACATACCAACACAGAAGAAACAATTAACAGTGGAGGAAAGAACAATACAAAAAGAGCTTTCTTACAACAAAGAGAGGGGCTTCGGGCTATAAATTCAAAAAAAGAGGGAAAGGACCAAAAAAAGATAGGAAGCTTGAGAGGAGAATATAGAAGCAGATCAATAGAAGATAAGGGAGGTAACAGCAGCACGCAGAAGACGAGGAAAAAGGCATCAAACATCAAGCAAAAACCAAACAAGGGAAATCAAGCTAGAAGTTCCGGGTTGGTGATTCTCAAACCCAAGTTATCTTAGTGGGTTATCTTAGCGTGGCTCAGGCGTGCTTCTTTGCCGGGAATGCGCTGGCGAGTTATCTTAGTGGGTTTTTGGTGTCTCTTGTTCATCATATTACGAAAGGGAGCAAGCGTGGGGATTGGTTGCCGGATGATTTGAACGAAGGGAAGTTGGATTACTTTTATTTCATGTTGGCTGGGTTAGGGGTGCCGAATTTGGGGTATTTTTTGGTTTGTGCTCGGTGGTATACTTACAAGGGAGATGGGGAAGGGTTGGGGGAGGTGGAGATTACTGGGAAGGAAGACACGAAAAATGTTCATCTTGCTGTTTAGTTAGGATGATTGACTTCAACTTGTGGTTTGTAAATGTAGCACATGGATGTCTTTAGAGGCTTGTGTTTTCCTGGTTTTTTCTTTTTAACATCGATGTTTTCCTGGCTTAATTGTTAATTATGAAAAATACTATTCCTAAAATTTAAATTTAATTCATAAAATAAAGTTAAATTTTTTAGAATTTGAGTATAGGTAAAAACTGGCGCATTAGAGGCGTGTCTTGTCCTAGCTTAAATCAAACTGAAAATCGTTAAGCTATTTTAATGTATCCATTTCTTGAAATTGAAAAATTAATACAAAATGAAAACAAAAAAGATCTTTAAAAATAAGAGATAGGGTATCTCAAAGAAAACATAGCAAAACTTGTTTGATTTCTTGAAACCCAACTGATATCATTAAGATATCTTAATAATTTTTTATTAACCGAACCCATTAAATCTTGTTTCAATTTTTTTCTCTTTATCTTGTATTGAGTAAAAAACAACACTTGAAATTGCCATTTATATGTATATTTTATTATTGAACTTATATATTTTCCTTTGAATATATTCGTATGTACAGGTTAGACTCGCAATTAATAAAGGCAATTGTAGACAACGTGCTGAAAGAGCTAATCAACATGTCTCCAAGCCTCGAGCCCAAAAATTTAGTGGGCCTTGATTCTCGTGTGTGGAAGGTGGAGCGACTGCTCGATGTCAACCGCTCAGAAGACATTCGAATTGTCGGGCTTTGGGGGATGCCCGGTATTGGCAAGACCACTCTAGCTCGAGCCTTATACAGACGACTTACCAATTTCTCCAAAGAAGATGGCTACAAGCACTATTTCGTCCCAAATATCAATGCCAAATGGAAAGGGCAACGAGATGGCTTGGAAGGGCTACAAAAGGAGCTTTACTCAACCCTCCTCTCCGAGCAGGACCAAAACATCACCAGTCGAGACTTGGAAACAAGTTATCGCAGGGCTCGACTATCTCGGTTGAAGGTTTTCATTGTCCTGGACGACGTTGAAGTTTTGTCCCAACTAGAAAGCTTACTCCTCGGCGATGTGTTGAATCTCACGAAGTTGTTTGCGCTAGGGAGCAGAATTATCGTCACGACGAGGAACAGGAAAGTGCTTGAAGTTGCAATGGCTAGGATATACCACGTGGAGCAGCTTAGCCCTCAAGAGTCGCTTCGACTATTCAGCATGTACTCTTTTAGGCAAGAGACTCCACCAACAAGTAGAAGGTAAAATCTTCAAATTAGATTATGGTTAACTAGTTCAAGCCATTATAGAATTGCTAACGTGATTATGTCCTAGTACTAATATTTTTTAACAGATACTAGTCAGTTACAGCAGTGGGATATTGCCAAGGAAACCCTTTGGCTCTTAGGGTCTTAGGGTGCACACTCTTTAGGAAGAGCGAGAGTTACTGGCAAAGTTTCTTGGATGGGTTACGGAAGAATCCAAAGCGGGAGATTCACGATGTTCTAAGGAGGAGCTACGATGAGCTCGGAGGCGATGAAAAGAGGATGTTTCTTGACATTGCTTGTTTCTTCCGAAGGAATTACTCCAAGTCACATTTGATTAAGATGATGGCATGTAGCTATTACTCGGCGTATAGTCGAGTGGAGGATCTTATCGATAAGGCATTGTTGATATGTGAACACCAGTCCAATAGCAACAACGACGAGTTGATCATTGAGGTTCATGATTTGCTACACGAAATGGCTTGGAACTTTATTAATGAGGAACCCGATCTTGGGAACCGCAATCGTCTTGAGAATGCAGAGGATGTTCGCAAGTTACTCATTGCACGGAAGGTACATACTACTTCTCAATTTCAATTTCACTTAAATAATGGTAAACCATTCTTTTCATGCACATTTTCTTATTAGGGAACGAGAGCTACAGAGGGTATAAACTTGGACTTGTCTAAAGCAGAAGAGATGCACTTGGGATCCGATGCATTTTCGGGGATGGATCGACTTAGATTTCTCAAATTCTCATGGCCAGATTCGTCGTCGTCTTCATCAAAAAATAATGCACGTACTTGCAAGATCCATCTTTCGGAATCTGGCCTAGACTCACTGCCTCATGAGTTAAGAATGCTATGGTGGGATGGATTTCCTTCGTCATCTTTACCTTCAAACTTCTCTCCTAACAGCTTGGTTGAACTTTGTATTCGCCATAGCCCTCTTGCACAATGTTGGGATGAAGTTCAGGTACTACCTTATTATCTTTTACTCTTAATTTCCAACAGGTACTAGCTATATCTCATCAATAATGACAATTCACTATAAGCAAAAGAGCTTTTGATTTCATTAATAAAAAGCACTCGTTGGCTCCACTTTTCTGTCTTGTTTCTTTTTGCACTTGTGGGTGTTCGGCCACTTTTTCTAGTCGTTGGTTTGAAGGGTGGTTGTTTGCTCTATATATAATTGACACTTTTCTAAATAGATGTGGTCAATATTATTAAGAAAAACTTTTGGTGAACCCTTGTTTGGTTGCAAAATGCTTTTCTTTTTTTGTTGACGTCGTAGTGGTTGTGTATTTGCATCAAGAAAATTGAATACTTATTCTTTCATATGCAATATTGTTTTACAGGACTTCGTGAATTTGAGGTGGTTTGACCTATCTTATTGTGCCAACCTCATCATCGTCCCTGATCTATCGAAAGCCACACATCTGGAATCTCTCAAACTCACAGGATGCAAGACCATAGTTGAGCTACCCTCCTTTGTCGAATACCTAGACATGTTAACCTTACTAGACCTCGGAGCCTGCGAAAACCTAGAGACCCTCCCACCTAAATTAGACTCCAAACACCTCAAACACGTAATTCTCTACGATTGCAGGAAAATCAACCAATGCCCTGAGTTCACAAGCAACTGGGATACCCTAGACTTGCGTGGCACCCCAATCACAACCCTCCCTATCGCAATCCACAAAATCAAAGAAGCCCGAAAGCTCAGCCTCCACGGTGAAAGCATAACCAGCTTGCCAGATGGATTCTCTGCGTCCATCAAGGAGTTTCGACTGTGCCACACCGCCATACAAAAGATACTGCCAAGCGATCATCGTGATTTTCTTCTTCCGAGAATCTCTCGTTTGGAGCTGGTCGGGAACTAGAACCTTGCCACCTTATCCAAAAACCTCTGGAAAATGGTGACAAAAGAGCTCCTCATCATGGACTCCCAAATGTTGAAAACAATTCCAGAAATCTCGATCGTCGACTCGAGCTTGAAGGTGCTTGTAGTAGAAGACTGCAGAGCTTTCAGGCGCCTTCCTTCCAGCATCGGCAACCTCAAGTCGTTGGAGGTACTAGCCTTGATTGGTGCAGCTATCAGAATGTTGCCTTCGTCAATACAAGAACTAGACCAGCTTCGTACGCTGGACTTGACTAATTGCAAAATGTTGGAGTCTATACCCGGTGCGATCAGCAGGCTCGATCGTCTCTCTCAACTCTATCTACTGGGCTGCGAGAGCCTTCGTTCTTTGCCCGAACTTCCTCTCAATGTGAAGCTTTTAGTCGCCAGTAATTGCAAGTCGTTGCAAACAGTTTCGAGCAACAACTTTAGCAAGCTCCATTTCTTGAACCTCAACTTGGTGGGTTGTCTCCAGTTAGACCGCAAGTTGCTCTGGAGAATGCTTGCAAAATTGCCGCTTCAGGATGTCTCTCAACGAACTCAGGTATGTACATATAATATATATATAGTATGCCTAGCTAAATGTTTGGTTATTCGTCTTTATGCTGCAAATCCAGAACACAGAAGAGCACTGGGTCGCATTTTATTAAAAAATTAGAACCGTAAAAAAACATTATAGTTTTTTTTTACAATATAAATTGTACACGACGGTATTTTAATTTAGCGAATGCATCAATAATGGAGTCCACATCCATACCAATAGTATACATTGTTTTAAATAAAATAATTTAGCAATCGGCTAGAAATTCATCGTTCATTTTGCTGCGAAATCAGTTTTCATATGTTTCATTGTTGAAAAGATTCTCCTTGTAGTAGTTGTTGACTTGTTGATACGAGCAGCGTCAACACTAGACAAATCAATCGTGCATTGTGTGTCCATACCTATATCCACTAATTGCTTTAGTAAATTTTTAAGAGAATAACCTCATATTACTTATAGTCTTTTACGTTTTAGACTTTTAGAATTTTAGATTTCATTGTTTTTTTTAGAAAAATAGTCTTTGGAGCTAGAATTTCTAGACTAAATTTACTAGACTTTTAGAATTTTAGATTTCATTGTTTTTTTTTAGAAAAATAGTCTTTGGAGCTAGAATTTCTAGACTAAATTTATAATAGTGATTTGAATATGTTAATCTGAATCATTTTTCTAATTACACCCTATCTTATTATAAAATAACACTAGGCCGAATAACTAAAATCGAAAAATTCATAAACATTATACTAACTCCGAATCCAGAGGAGGGCTGGGCCGGGGCCCGGGGTGGCCACCCCTGGATCCGCCACTGCTTATGGTGACCTTATATTTGGTGTCTAAAATGTTTTGTCATTACAGTATGGTGGTGGTGCTGGAGGTGAGATACCTCCGTCAACGGTATTATACCCAGGGAGCGGGCTTTCAGAATGGTTCCCTCACCAAAGCATGGGACATTCCGTGACGGTTCCTCTGCCTAGAAACTGCAAGAGACTGAAGCTATTTGCGTTCACCGTAGTCTCACTACAGGAAAAACATCCTTTAATCACGGGAATTCCCGTGTTTGAAAGTGTGTTTCCCGTGTTTAATAGTTTTAATCACAAGAAAATTACCGTAATATATACCTCCGTGTCTAATGGTAAAGGTCATGGGAAATTTGTACCGTGACTAGTTATAACTAGTCACGGTATAGTTTCCCGTGACTAGTTATAACTAGTCACGGTACAAATTTCCCATGACCTTTACCATTAGACACGGAGGTATATATTACGGTAAAGTTTCCCGTGACTAGTTATAACTAGTCACGGTATCGTTTCCCGTGATAATTTGGGCCTATTAATCACGGGAAACCCCATGACTAATATCAAATCTTGCAACACAACACCAACAAAAAACTCATTTAGGTACGGGATGTCCACCTTTGAACACGGTATATACCATGAAAAAATCATTTCCCATGACTAGAAGCCAATCATTAGTCACAGTATTTGGTCGATTCTCCTGTGTCGTTGTATTAACAATTGGTGTATTTTACTATGACAAATTATCAATCACTAACCACCATATTTTCCAATGATACACTATTTCATATATTAACATACATATAAAATTATAAGATTATTATTGTCAATAACCAAAACAAATATCAATACAATTGAAAAGTCTCTTTCTTGTAGCATGAAACTCCAACCAAATTGAAACCATAAAACATTATCCAAATCCTTATGCTACTACAAGATATTCTTGACTAGCTAAAATATCAATAAACTCTCGAATGTTCAAGACGAATCAACTCTTGAATCTTCAACATCAAGTCTTCTTGATCCTGACAAAACACAGTAAGAATTAGGACTTCTAATTAGTTCCTCTATGAATATGAGAACTTAAAACAGTTGTTCAAAAATAAAAACTTGACACTTAAACTAATTAGGTGTTGCTCGTTCATGCATATTCTCTGCAAAGCTAACCACTCAGCAAAATAAGCTGCACAAACCATCTTAATTGCATTATTTTTTGTGAGTAGCTAGCTTTTGAGAAAGATCAGCTAATGCTTGTAGAAATTAAACTCTGTTTTGAGAAGTCACAGTCATAAACTCTGTTTTATTACCAGCTACTTCTAATGCGTTAATCAATATGACACCAAAAATCATGTGTTGTTTCTTAAAACTCCAAGAAGGTTCAGAAAAATAAGCTAATGCTTGTAGAAATTAAAATTGAGAGCTTCTGCCTACTAAATTACATGAGCTACAAACATTCAATTTGTTAAACAAATAGGGAAAGAAAGAAGAGAACAAGTCAAAGACCTTTCACCGAGAAGAGTTAATTCTTCCCCAAAATCTCGTCCATCCATTTGCTATACGACCATTTTTGAAGAAAAAATCAACCAGTATGGCATAATATTGGAATTGAATACTTTCTAATGGGTATAAGGGACAAGAGCAATCAAGAACTACTGAAGAAAAAATCGACATAAATCATTAAATAAACCTAACACAATGTTCCAGTTTCACTAGACCATGACAGCAGATGGGGTGAAGGAGCAAAGATAAGAAGTTTCACCAGTTCATGCTGCTGCTACTCATACAGACTACATCCTTGTGCTGCTGGTTGTACTCCTTATATGAATAAAGTCATAAAGAAGTGTACTCCTTAAACCCTGTGAACTTCTGACTTGGACATGTAGATGCATCATTGGGAAGGGAACAAACATATATCAAATAATGATTACAGTGGAGAAATATACATACAAATCTGAATACCAACATGCTGCAGAATGAATCTTACTTTGACATTGATGTTAAAAGATCCATTTGCTATAAGAGTGCAAGATACCAAAAAGCAAGTTGTAAGCTGCAAACTTCACGAGGAAGCCTTTGATTCCTTCAGAGTAGAGGATCCATTACTGTGAATAAACTTGGCAGGTTAAAATAAATAGAAAAAATCCAATTTATTCACCTCCCACACTCGCCCATTTCAACATCATGGAGAATTGGAGATGCAATCATCTACTCATAAATATCAGTGGATTTCACTTGATATGAAACCCTCACAATGCCCAAAACCTTACCCATCGTTCTAACATAACCTGAACAAGGGATTAGCTCTGTCCTACCAAATTGTCTTCCCGTCATAACTACTCGAACATTGCCTTTTGAAGATGCAGAGAAAGGAAACCCGCATATTTAAACAAACAAAAGGGCAGCGCAGGGGAGTCCATATGCGTTTCACACAGGGGAAACCCCACTAAAGGAAAACTTCAGCACACACATGCCTTACCCCAATAAGGCTCGGAAACAATTTGGTTTCCCAGTAGGAGTAGTTCCGGCAGCAGCAGATCTCGGCGATAGCAGCTCCGCTTCCGCAGCCAACAATAGCAGCATATTCTGACAGTAGCTGCTACTCCGCTGCAACCAACACCATTAGCTCCAACAACAGTAGATCCCAGCAGTATGAGCTCCGATTCAGTAGCCAGTACCTCTACTTCGACAATCTAACAGATGAGACTAGCAGCAGCAGAGAAGAAGAAGAAGAGGAAGTTGGAGCTGCTGCTGATGCAAAGAAGAAGAAACAGAGGAAGGAAGGAAACGGCAGCGTTTGAGGAAATAGCCGTTAGTGTTTTAGCTGATGAAGAACAGCCACGTGTCGGCTTATTTACAGTCAATTTAATTTACCGTTTTTGCTTTTCTGTTTTTACTGTAGACCTGGAAATGCAGAGTATAAATAGAAAGGGATGAGCATACAGCTCATCTAACGATTCCCCATTTCGTTCTTCTGCAGCTGCTTAACCTAGCAGCTGCCTTATCTTCTTCGTCGTCTCTACTTCTTATGGTATCAGAGCGGTTCTGATCCGCTTTTCCGCTTCAACAATGAATGCGTCACCAGCCACTCCTGGATCTGGCGGCATTCCATTTGGCTCCTTCAACGCCAGCACCAGCAGCGATGGTGGGCAACAGCAGCAAGGCAACAACATTCCCATGGGTCTTCAATTTGGTAATCCCTACTACATAAACCCAGGAGAAAATCTTGGTCAATCTATTGTGACAGAGGTCTTAGATGGGACGAATTACCAAACCTGGCAGAGAGCAGTTCGAATGGCTCTTAAGACTAAGCACAAATTGGGTTTTATAGATGGTACCCTTCCCATGCCAGATCGTACACATCCAGATTTCTTGCTGTGGGATGCTTCTAATACAATTGTTCTGTGCTGGATTCTTAATTCTGTTCATAAGGATATCAGCAGAAGTGTCTTGCAACATGAAATAGCTAGAACTGTTTGGGATGAGCTGAAAAGGAGATTTGGCACCTCCAATGCACTTAGGTTAGCCAATCTTCAGGAGGATATTGGCAGATGCAAGCAGCGCAACCTAACTATAACTCAGTATTACATAGAGTTTAAGGGTTTATGGGAAGAAAATCTGTTATATGATCCTATAGTGGAATGTGATTGTGTAGCTGTGAGAACTAGACCTTGTGCTGCAGTGACAGCATTTCAAGAGAAACAACAAACTGATTACCTCATCAAGTTCCTTCGAGGTTTGAGGCCTGAATATGATGTGATTCAGACCCAGTTACTCATGATGAAGCCCTTACCCAGTGTTGATGCAGCTGTGGATGATCTCCTTCAACATGAACAAAAGTTGAAAGGAGACAAAGGAACCAGTACCAGAGGGATACAATCTGTTGCACTTGCTGCAAATTCTGATACAACACGTGGGGCAGGAGCTTCTGGCAATGACAATTCTAAGACCACCAGAGGAGAACCAGACAAAGAAAAGAAGGTTTGCAGATATTGCAAGAAGGAAGGTCATCTTAAGGAAGAATGCTACAGGTTAAAGAACAAAATGCAAAGAATGGCTGGAGGGGGTTCTTTTGCTAACTCTGTGTCTCAACCAGATTGGAAATCTGATTCTCAAAGTGGTGATTCCAGTTCTTCTACTCACAGTTACAGCCTTGAGAGTAAAACCTCTTCACCAGGCTCTATCAACTTCACTCCTGATGAGCTGACTAAGCTCAAGGTTCTTCTCCAGCAATCTGATAGCATGAGTCCTTCTCCACCACTCTCACCTTCCATCAAGCATGCTGCTTACTCAGTTTCCCAGCAATTACCACCATTTCCCAACTTTGCTGGTAAATATGTTCTTTCCTCTTACTTAGAGCATGGATTAATGGCTTTAGCTCAAATCTGGATACTAGACACTGGGGCTTCAGACCATATTGCATGTTCTTTGTCTTCCTTTTTGGATGCCAGTCCTGTGACAGATCAATATGTGTACTTACCTAATGGGAACAAGATCCTAGTTAGCCATATAGGAAGAGTCAAAACACCTACAGGACTGTGTTTAAGCAATGTTCTTCTTGTCCCTAGCTTTACCTTCAATCTCATTTCAGTGAGCAAGCTCACTCTTGACCACCCACTTTCTTTAAAATTTGAATCTGACTCTTGTCATATTCAGGACCTAACCACCAAGACCCAGATTGGTTTAGCAAGACAAGTTAAAGGCCTCTACCATCTCATTCCCACATCAAGTCCTCCACCAGTCCCTCCTTCTCATCAAGTAGCAGCCACCTACAACTTTGAGCCACACCAGTTTGATCTCTGGCATTGGAGATTAGGTCATCCCAGTAATGATAGAGGCAATCAGGCCATTGGATGTAATAAGATAGTTGTCAAACATTGTCAAACTTGTCATTTTGCTAAACAAAGGAAACTTCCCTTTCCAATTAGTGACAGTAGAGCTGCTCATGTGTTTGATTTAGTCCATGTTGACATTTGGGGACCTCTTGCTGTTAAATCACATGATGGCTACTCTTATTTTCTTACCTTGGTGGATGATCACTCTAGGAGTGTTTGGACCTTTTTGATGAAGCATAAGTCTGAAGCAGGTGATCTACTCAGGTCATTCTGCACTATGGTACACAAACAATTTGATAAAACTGTTAAGGTTATTCGAAGTGACCAGGGTAATGAATTTCATTTGTTAGATTTCTATGCCTCTCATGGTATAGAACATCAAACTTCTTGTGTGGAAACTCCAGAACAAAATGCCAGGGTGGAGAGGAAGCACCAGCACATACTTAATGTTGCTAGGGCATTGAGGTTTCAGTCAGGTTTACCATTGCACTTTTGGAGTGACTGCATCTTACAGGCAGTTCACTTGATTAACAGGCTACCCTCACCTGTTACAAACAATCTCTCTCCCTATGAAATTCTATACAAACAAGCACCTGACCTGTCTCAATTGAAAGTATTTGGTTGTCTGTGCTATGCATCCACCTTACTTAGAGACAGAACCAAGTTTACCCCTCGAGCAAGGCAGTGTGTTTTCCTTGGCTTTCCCTCTGGGATCAAAGGCTATAAGCTTTTTGATCTCAATAGCCATCACTTCTTTGTTTCTCGCCATGTCATATTCTATGAACATATCCTACCATTCTATTTTCCTTCATCCAATTCCCCTTCTGATTCTTCTCTTCCATCAACTACTGTTCCTGTTTTCCCCTCTTCAGACTTTCCTTCCTCATCATCTTATCCTACTCAGTATGTGGATACATTTCCCTCTACTGTATCACCCTCTTCATCATCTCCTTCTTCTTCTACACCTACTTCCACTACTTTTCCTTGTCCCGACACACTGCCTGAGCAGTTCCATGAGACTTTTGAGGTCTCTGATCCACATCCTGGGGGGGAGACAGATGAGCTAATGGAGCAAGCAGATGTTGATGAAGGAGAAGTTGAACATGTATTGAGAAAGTCAGATAGGGTCAGAACTTTACCTGTCTGGCATAAGGACTATAAGGTAGGTTCTGTTCAAAAGTATGCCATGGAGAATTATGTGTCATTTGATAACCTACCACCTGCACACAGGGCATATGTGTTGAGTGTCATGGCAGCAGTGGAACCTAAAAGCTATGCAGAAGCTTGTCTTGAGTTGTGCTGGAGAGAGGCTATGAAAGATGAGCAGAATGCTCTTGAAGCAAATCAAACCTGGGAACCAGCCTTCCTACCTCCAGGCAAGAGAGCAATTGGAAGTAAATGGGTGTATAAAATCAAGTTAAGAGCTGATGGAAACATTGAAAGGCACAAGGCCAGAGTTGTTGCTAAAGGATTCACCCAGATTTATGGCATAGACTTCTTAGACACATTTTCTCCAGTGGCAAAGATTAACTCAGTCAAGGCTCTTTTAGCAGTAGTAGCTGCTAATGACTGGTTTATACATCAAATGGATGTATCAAATGCATTTCTCCATGGAGATTTGCATGAAGAGGTGTACATGAAACCACCTCCAGGAATGGAACTACCAGATAAGAGGATGGTTTTGAGACTGAAAAAGTCTTTGTATGGTTTGAAACAAGCCAGCAGGCAATGGTTTGCCAAGCTAGCAGGATCACTGCTCAGAAATGGTTTTTCACAAGCAGCCTCAGACTATTCTATGTTTGTGAAGAGAATACAAGGAAGAATTCTTGTTGTTTTGGTATATGTAGATGATATTCTTATTGCAGGGAGCTCTTTGGGAGATATAGAGCAGTTGAAGAAGTTTCTTGGAAGGGAATTTAAGATCAAAGATCTTGGTGTACTGAAATACTTCCTTGGACTGGAGATTTATAGAGATCACAAAGGCATTCAAGTCAATCAAAGGAAATACTGTATGGAATTGTTGGCAGACACAGGTTACTTAGAAGCCAAAGACTGCTTGGCACCTGTTGATTACAAGATGAAATTGACTGCTAAACAGGGAGAACCTTTGGAAAATCCAGAAGTGTACAAGAGACTTGTGGGTAGGCTGCATTATCTGACTATAACCAGACCTGACCTTACATTTTCTGTGCAGCAGTTATGTCAGTTCCAAAAGGATCCATACAGTGAGCATTTATCAGCTGCCTATAGAGTCTTGAGATACTTGAAGCATGCTCCAGGGCAAGGGTTGTTGTTCAAGGCAGATTCAAACTTGAAGCTATCTGGTTTTTCAGATTCTGACTGGGCAAGTTTTCCAGACACCAGAAGGTCTGTTACAGGGTACTGCACCATGCTGGGGGAGAATTTGATAACCTGGAAATCAAAGAAACAGACAACAGTTTCCAGGTCATCATCAGAAGCAGAATATAGAGCACTGGCTCATCTAGTTTGTGAATTGCAGTGGTTGAGGAACCTGTTAGCAGAAATGGATGTTAAAGTGGAGCTACCTATTCAGGTTTATTGTGACAATCGATCAGCAATGCACATTGCTGAGAATCCAGTCTTCCATGAGAGGACTAAACATATTGAAATAGATTGCCACATCACGAGAGAAAGACTGAAGTCAGGTATGATTAAATTGAATCATGTTCGAACTGAAGATCAATTGGCAGACATGTTTACAAAAGGGATGACAAGATATAGATTGAAGTTCTTGCTGGACAAGTTGGGAGTGATTGATATGCACTCGCCAACTTGTGGGGGAGTAACAGATGAGACTAGCAGCAGCAGAGAAGAAGAAGAAGAGGAAGTTGGAGCTGCTGCTGATGCAAAGAAGAAGAAACAGAGGAAGGAAGGAAACGGCAGCGTTTGAGGAAATAGCCGTTAGTGTTTTAGCTGATGAAGAACAGCCACGTGTCGGCTTATTTACAGTCAATTTAATTTACCGTTTTTGCTTTTCTGTTTTTACTGTAGACCTGGAAATGCAGAGTATAAATAGAAAGGGATGAGCATACAGCTCATCTAACGATTCCCCATTTCGTTCTTCTGCAGCTGCTTAACCTAGCAGCTGCCTTATCTTCTTCGTCGTCTCTACTTCTTACAATCAGCCCTTCCTTCATCCTCTTTCTGTTGCATTACTTTGTACCTCTAGTATCAGGCGATTAAAACAAAGGGGAAAAGGAGTGTTTGATGAGTTCAAATAAAAAGAGAAATGGAAGAGGCTAAAGAGATACAGGAAAGAGATTCGAGTAAAAAAATACCACAACTGTAGACCACGATAAATCTTCAGGGCATTTGAGATTGAGATGGAAGGAGAAGAGATTGACATCGGAATGGCCGTCTGAAAAACAATATCCGTAATTAAGATTGTCATGGGAATGATTTTGCTTAGATGGAGGAGGGTATGGGATTGAGATAGCTATAGTAGAGTTTTTAGGCATCGAGTTAGGTTAAAGAAGGGGATGACGCCATTTCTCTGAAGAACAAACAGACGGAGACGAGAAGAAAGAGAGTTTTTTTTTTTTGGAACCAAGAGAGGGGTTGGAAAGAAAGGTAAAGGTTTGCTTTTCTTTTAGTTTTCCTTGGTAAAAGAAACGGTAGGAGAGTCAAAATTTTAGGATGAGCGCCAAAAATGACTATGGAGCCAAAAATTTCGTTAGTTGAAATTTAGGATTTGTATAGGCGGGAATAAATTGTGGGAGAGCCAAGTTGTTTTGGAGGGAGTTTTTCATTTCCCAAATTAAAGAGGGAGTTTTTCAATTGCCAAATTAAAAGAGTCAATTTAACGCAATTTTGGAATTCTGTAAAAGTCCAAACTTAGGGAGCTGTGTAATAATCAGAAAGGGAGAAAACTCTTTGATTAAAATTTCATTTTTTTTAACAATAAAAGAGCTGAAATATATATTATTTATTCAAAATTCCCTTTTCTAAACATATCCTTGTTAGTTTTTCACATAAAATTTGAAGATATATATTGTAAAATTGTCACGGTTAATTACCGTGACTAACAATTAATCACGGTAATGAAGACAAAAAATAGATGAATTTATTCCCGTGATCAAAACTATACAACCAGATATGGTAATTTTTACCGTGATTGCTAGTATACTTCTTAATATGGGAAAAACTCCCGTGAATAAGATCCCGTGACCAAAAAGCAGTTTTCCTGTAGTGTCTATTCTCTAGAGCCGCCTATTTCCGGCGACGAAGAGAAGACCGACATGCACATGCACATTTCAAGCGAGTGCTTCACGAAACCCTGCGTGTGGTGGGAGAGATGAATTAGACGTTGTTGGCGGTGGCTCGAGTACTAGTACTAATGCGGTGGCGTCGTGGAATATAGGGAGCGGATAGTATAACAACACTCATAGTGTTGTTATACTAACAACAAGATTCATTAAGGGTAAAAGGGTAAACTAACACAAAATAACAAATTAAAAACTAAAATCCATAAATAAAACCCTGTCTCAGCGATGGTATCTCTTCATCTCCAGGTCTCTTGCCTCTCGGCAGCTTCTCCTCCACCGTCGGGAACGCCGCGAACAGCAGCCAGTTCGCATGGTTGACCCTCCTCGTGGCCCCAGCGGCGGCGACGAAGGCTTTGCTGACTTTGGTGGCCTCTCGCTGGGCGAATTCGCGAACCCAAAGAATGAGAACGGCGGCGGGAGGAAAGAGAACGGCGACGCGCGGCGGCTGGAAGGAACGAGCACGGCCGCAATCGCCGACTATGGCTTCGAAGGCCACACATCCTAGGTTTTCTTCTCCCCGTCAATTTGCCTGAATCTTGCCCCCCATGGAGTCCAAAATCTTGGAGATCAACTTGATCTCCGCCCAAGGCCTAAAGCCGCCGTTCGCCAAGCTCCGCCAATTGCAGATCTACGCCGTCGTCTGTATCAACTCCGCCGCCAAGCTCCGCACCCAGGTCGACCGCGTCGGCGGGGCCAACCCTACCTGGAACGACAAATTCCTCTTCCGAGTCTCTCCCAATTTCTTCTCCAACGACACCTCGGGGGTCTCCGTCGAGATCTACGCCTTCGGCTGCCTCCGCGATTCCCTCGTCGACATCGTCCGCTTCTAGTGAAAGATGGGGTTTTCTTTTCGTTGAATAAGATGGGTTATTTTCTATGCCAATGGCAAATATGGGTTTCTAGTGAAACTTGATAATTTTCTATGGAACCCAATTCTGATGCTATAACTTCGGTGTGTATCTCCTTGATAGGTTTTGTGTTTTGGAATTTTATTACTACGGCGACTGGTTTTTCCAATGTTTGGTTGAATGTTGACAACTGAGCGTATGGATTATACAGCAGTATATTTCCAACTGTTATGCAATTCACGCACCAGAAACTTCATAATGCAAGCGACAAACGTGATCAAACAAATCATAAAAAACACACTAGAAATCTTCTAATGGAAACAACAAATCTCCTAGAAACATACCAGAAATCACATAAAGCAAACAACAAATATTTCTAAAGTACCCAGAAACATCCTAATACAAACCACAAACACGACAAATCAAACCACAAAAACAAACCAAAAACGTTCTAATGCAGATCATAAATATATTAAAACAAACCAGAAACCTCGCAAAGCAAACCACAAAAGTTTCGAAAGCACACCAGAAACACAATAAAGCAAACCACAAACACGATAAAGCAAACCACAAAAACAAACCAGAAACGTCCTAATGCAAACGAAAAATCTATTAAAACAAACCAGAAACCTCGCAAAGCAAACCACAAATATATTAAAACAAACCAGAAACCTCGCAAACTAAACCACAAAAGTTTCGAAAGCACACCAGAAACTTCTTAATGCAAACCAAAAACCTTCTAATGCATACCACAAATCTCCTAAAACAAACCACAAACCTCACAAAGCAAACCACAACATTTGCGAAAGCACACCAAAAACCTCCTAATGCAAACCACAAACATAGTAAATCAAACCACAAAAAAGCAAACCATAAACGTCCTAATGCAAACCACAAATATATTAAAACAAACCAGAAACCTCACAATGCAAACCACAAAGTTTTTGAAAACAAACCAGAAACTTCTCAATGCAAACCACAAACACAATAAAACAAACCATAAAAGGCATAAAAAAATATGAGAAACCAAACCATAAATCTCACAATGCAGACCATAACATCCGGTGGTCGTTGACCGGCGTTGACCGAACTCCGGTGACCGTCAGTGAGCAGATTCCGACGCCGATAGGCATATTCCGGCCCCGGTAAGCATATTCCGACGCCGGTAAGCATATTCCGGCCACAAAATAGCATATTCCGGCGACAACAAGCATATTCCGGTGACCGGCGACCATTTTCCGGCGACCGGTGGCAGAATTCCGACGGCCACATTTTTGGGCAGAAAATAAAAAAAATAATTTTTTTAATTTTTTTTTATTTTTTTATTTAAATAGATTTTTCATAATGACAATTATACCCCTGCTTTGATTTTACACTAGGTCAACTCATTTAATAAAAAGTCATCACAATCCTAGCTTCCTATTGGTTGGGGACTAGTGTTGTTACAATAACAACACAATGGGTGTTGTTACAATAACCGGTCCCTGGAATATATGTATGAATATAATGGGAAGCTTCAACGGCAGTGTGGCTACCGACAATGTCTTTCTGTGGCTTCACCACAGAGCTGGAGAAGATCGAGCTTTACTAATAATAATCATTCACCTTGACAAAACAAACATGGCATGAAATAATGATAGAAAGCTTTCATAATATCTCAACAAGTAGGTGAATGATTAAAGCTTTACTAATGCGACATACTTGCTTTCATTGATATGAACTTATCATCTCATTTAATTAGAGAAATTAGAAGTAAGTTCTGATTGATTCATTTTCATTTGATTGCATCTGTTTCTATTAAATCTGATCATGTTCATTATTGCAAAGATAATATTATATCTAAACCTCAAATAAAGAACCCACATACACCATGAGACTTGGTAGTGATTTCTAGTTTAGTCAACCAAAAAATCAACAGACCATGAGAAAATCAGTTAATCTTAAACTAATAAAGGCTGAAGTTTGAGATCTGGTCATGAGGCTGTGATTAGGTTGCTCTAAGATTCCTTTCAACCAATAAACCTTAGCTAAATCCTCTAAGTTGTTTTTTTCTTTAAAAATATCCAAATTCAACAAAAATCAACATATCAGATTTACGAACCGATATCGGTTATCTCAATCATTTTATACTTCAAGAACTAGTTCCCTTTTTCTTCAAATCCAAAATCATAAGCAGTGGCTATGATTTTCGGTTGTCTCAATTGATCAAAAAAATCAACAAAACAAACGATTTACCAAGTATTACCATAAAAACAATTCACTAGCAGATTAAGGAGTCGACTCCTAGCTACTTAGAACCCAATCTTTTAAAGAGAAGGCAAACATAAATCTCGAGTTGTACAGGGGATATCACCTAAATCTCTTCGTTTAGTCACTGCAAAGGGGGAGGGTTCGAGAGGTTCTAGTGTTTCCTCTGGCTGGTGGCAGTTGTTTCTGCGTCGGCGGCGGCACCGCTCCCTCCTCCACGTACCCACATACCAAAATCAAAATAAAGCATCAGAATTAAGAATAAGAAATCAAATACACAAGCCACAAATTCAGAAGCATACCTACCAAAAATTTCAGTCGACGGACTGGTTCTCTGCCTGCGGCGAGACCCTGAGTCGCTGTAATCTCTGGCCACCATTTCGCTCATCGTCGCTTTCGCCGGCGGCGGACCTCTTCTTGTTGTCCATATACGAAACCCCACAACACGAAAGAGGTTAGAATCTCATTCAAAAACCCAGAAACAAAAGAAAATAGACTTGCATGCCATGATCTTACCTAGATCGAAGGTCCCCAGGTCGATTTTCAGCGACCTACGGCGGATTGAGCAGAGTAAGAGTCGGCTGCTAGAGGAGAATCTCTGAGGAGTTTCATTAGTCGGGTCGTCTTTGCTGGCGGCGGCAAGAGAAAAGGAGAAGGATTTCGAAGTTCGATTGGTTTCGATTGCTGGGTAGGAAAAGAGAGTAGGATAGGGATACGAGAGAGAGAAGGGTTGCCAACGAGTTCCACCGCCCTCCCCGTCGCCGTCGACGGAGAGGCAGAGGGAATGGCGAGAGAGAAGAGAAGGGAGAAGAGAGACGGCGGCGATGGAAGAAAAAAAAAGAGGGGTCTCTGGTGGCTCAAGTTAGGGTGCATAACCATGGGTTATGCACCCATCAATAACCAAATCTGGACCCTTCATTTAGAAAATCTAGATCTAAGGATGGAAAATTAAAGGTCATTTTTATTTTCACTAGCTTTCTTAATTGACTCATATCTTTTTCGTTTTAACTCGAATTTTAATTTTTTTTGCACAGATGGAACGAGTTCATCGTGCTCTACAAAATGAGATCAATTTTCAATATTTTTTTAGGAAAAAAAATTCTGGCCTCTCGGTACCAACTGCATACCATATGGTATCTTTTTCGTTTTTAATTCGTTTTTAAAAACGTTTGCACAACAGGGACGAGTTCATC